CAATTTTTTTTTTTTTTTTTTTTTTTTTTTTTATGAAATTAATAAAATAAAATAAAATAAAATTAATGTGGGTCCCAGATTGGATTGTAATACTAAAATTGGGTGGGTGACGTTGGGTTATGTTGTTTACAGGAAATAAGCTACGTACCATTACTCCTCTTTATCCTCTTCCTTTTTCCAAAAAAAACCCTGCTTTAATTTATTCCCTTCCAGAATCCACCCATTATAACACCACACCCCATTTTCCCTCATTCATTCATTCATTCATTCATTCAAACGCCAAATTGGTACCATCGGAGGAGTTCACTTAATTAGTTTATGGCGTCTACTCAGCTCAGCTTGGAATGTAAAGTTCAAAGCTATTCCATGCTGCTTCAATATTCTTTTGGAGATCAACACCAAGTGCCGCCTAATTCCGATGACTTCTATTATAAGCTTCAGGAATTCGTTTCTCGCCTTGAACAAGAGCGCCTTAAAATTGATGTCTTCAAACGGGAGCTTCCCCTTTGTATGCAGCTTTTGACCAACGGTACTATCTAAATTTAAATTTAAATCTTCCACTTTCTTTGTGTTTGTAGTTTGCTAAATTTGGTATGTTTGTAGCCGTGGAGACGTCCAGGAGACAGCTGCAGGCCTGCAAGGCAAGTGAGGCGCCGCCATCCAAGCCGGTTTTGGAAGAATTCATGCCGCTCAAAAACTCCACAACGCCGGATGATGAAAAGCCGCCCACAATATTGTCGGATAAGGCAAATTGGATGACGTCACTTCAGCTTTGGAGTCGAGCAAATAAGGAATATACTGATCCACCTCATTCCCATAATAATAATAATTCAGACACTCGTAAACAAAGAGTTAGTAATGGAGCTTTTGTTCCGTTCAATAAAGATCGGAGCTTGGGGCCGGGTTTGGGTGTTGGCGGAGGCGGCGTGAAAGGGGTGGCGGTGGAAATGGAGTTACTGGAGAAAGGTGAGAAGAAGGAGAAGAAGAATCATTGTGGTGATACTAATAATAACGTTGATGGTGGGATATTAACGGCGACGGAGGACAGGGCTGAACGTGGAACAGGGGAGGTGGGATTGGCTCCCACGACAAGTTCAACTACGACTCAGACACACCGGAAGGCAAGACGATGCTGGTCGCCGGACTTGCACCGGAGATTTGTCAATGCTCTTCGGATGCTTGGTGGCTCTCAAGGTATATAATTCATTATTGATTAATTTTTTTTTTTTTAGAATACCAAAATAAATTCATGAGAGTAGAAAATATTGTAAATACCGTGATTTGTAACACAAATTATTAATTTGTTATAGTTTTTATTAAATTTAAAACAGTTGCGACACCAAAGCAGATCAGAGAGTTGATGAAAGTAGACGGTTTGACGAACGATGAAGTAAAAAGCCATCTCCAGGTCAGCTTTTATCCCCGCAAATTTGTATTACCCATCTTTAATTTGCGTTAATTTTGTCGTATACTCTCAGAAATACCGGCTTCACACAGTGAGACGCCCCGGTTTGGCCACACAAGCATCTGGGTCGCCAGCGGCTCACCTCGTAGTACTCGGTCTAGGCGGGCTATGGGTCCCACCAGAGTATGCGAGGTCACCCACCCTGTACGGCCCACCCGCCACGTCCCATCCGCCTTCCCACTTCTACACCCCGGCTTCAGTGCCGCACGAATATTATACGAGAACGATAGCGCCGCCGCATCTGCAGCAACATCATCATCAGGTGCATTTATACAAGGGGGAGTCCACGAAGGCGGCCCAAAGCTCGCCGGCTTCGGAGGTGAGGGACACGGCGGAGCGGTCGGAGATCTTGGAGGAGGAGAAATCGGAGGGCGGTCAAAATGGCGAGGACAGAAGAATTAAAGGGAGAGGATCGTGGGGGCGGAGATTGGAGGGTGAAGAAAGTAATAGAAGTGAAGTTAGTCTGAAATTCTGAAGAGTTAATTAATATAATAATAGCGTAATTTCTAGAACTTGATATGATTTAATATGAACAAATCAAATAATAATACACAAACCTCGTACCCATCTCATTATTTCCAACTATTTTGGATCTAGGATGAAGCCCATATTTTTATAGAGGGCCCATACCATTAAAAAGTGGGCCAACATTGGGCCCGAATCTGAATTAAAAAACAAATGAAAAATAACAACTTTATCCTCTTAAGAAGGGCTCTACCATCGTCTCCATAGTCAAACTACTAATGAACTTTTTTTTGAAAAGCAAAAACAAAAAAAAAAAAAAAAAGTGAATGAATGATGAGGAAATTGATTTGTTTCCATTTCATGCCAAAAAGAAAAAGTTTGGTGATTGGTATAACATCAAACACCCACTGTCTTATCATTAAGAACAGTTAATTCTCATAAGAAATATATATATTTATTAATTTTATTTTTGTCTTTTGAATCATTTTCATACATAATATAATATAAACGTAATATCTAAATTATTTCAATTAATTAAAATAAGAGTTTTAGATAATATAAATAAGATATAAGAATTAATAGAGTTTAAGGGACCAAGTTATACTTTCCAAAATAAATATACAAGAATTGCATTTCTTTAAATTTAGTAAGGCTGGGGGTTGCGCCGCCTCCACCGCCGCCAAGAGCTCGCCAGCCGCCACACTGTCCTGATCCAACTCCCTCTTCTCACTCTGTAAAGTGGAATTTCCTTCACAACCCACCATCCAAATCCGCAGGACAAACCTCAAACCTTGTGGAAAAGAACTAAACTTAGGCCTACACCATGTACACTCCTAGCTTCACAGAGCACCATGAGTACACATCCGGCAGCCGCCGCCGCCGCCACCAAAACTGCAGAACGGCATTAGGATATTACAAGAATGTCCTCCCGATGTTCTTTATTTCAGCTTGTTTAATAAAATTCCGCAGCACACATGATTAAGGTTGTGGGTTGAGTTCCTTGGCAGAACTCATTGCTTCTCCTTTGTCAAAAAAAAAAAAAAAAGAAATGAATTAGTGTAAAGAAAGACAGAATTTTGATTAGTTTAATAAAAAGGTGGGGTGTAGCAGTTAGCGCACGCTAGCTTTCTCTTTTGGAGCTAATAAACAGAACCCCTTTCTTGTTTGTTTAAACTAATAAACAGAAGCTTTTTCCTTTCTTAAAGGCAGTGCCCATATGCTCATTCGCCAACAGGCCTCTGCTTCTGCTTCCTCAACACAAAGCCCCCCCCCCCCCCCCCCCCCCCCCCCCCCCCCCCCCCCCCCCCCCCCCCCCCCCCCCCCCNCTCCTTTATTATTCTTAATTAATACGGTGCCGTTCCCCATACATTATAACTCCATTCCCCACGTTCTCTTTCTATTCCTCCAGCTTCAGTTCCCCCTTTTCCTTGACCCCATTTCTTCCAACTTCTTAAGCTAACATATTAACTTAAACAAGCTCTTGTTGTTTCCTTATTCACTGTATTATTTATTGAAACAATCCTATTAGTTTTGCACTGTTGATGCACGTAAGAACTGCAAAATATTTGAATTTTGTATTCAAGAAGATGTCATTGAAGTGTGTGAAATCTTCGGGCATGTTGAGGTGCTTCCTTGTCTGATTTACTTTTTGCCTTATTTTTAACTGATATTTCAAGGAATAAACTAATGGAGTATAATGAATGAGAGGCAAAGAAGAGAAAGTAATAAAAAAGGGATGAAGAAAAGGAAAGTAGGAGATGGGGTTTAGAGTTGGTGCAATAAATAGGTGAAAGTTTGGAGCTTTAGCAGAGTGGGCGTCTGGTTTGGTGCAAACTGAACTGGAAAACTGGTGTTAGTTTGTTTCTCCACCACTGGAATTGCCATTATTCTCCTTTCCTTGCTTTTGGCAGCGTTTCAACAGTTGGGTTTCTCAGAAAAATCAAATCAAATCAAAGGTTGGGCATTAATACCAACACATCCTGCAAAATCTTTTATAAAGAAGATAAGAAAAAGAAGAGAAAAAGTTGTCTCTTTTAGTCTTCAGTTTTTGCTTTGGTTTTCCCTCTGCAATCTCCAACCAAAAACCATCTTCTTCTTCCTCTTCTTTTTTCTCTCTGCAGTCAAACACAGAAAGCATGGTTTCAGTTCCATTTGATTATCTTTATAATTAGTCCTTTTTAGGTGTAATTAATACCTGTGAGGATGCAGGTGGAGAAGGGAGTGTGAGTCTATGGCTGACCAAATGGCGTAGTCCTCAAGGTTCGTTCTAAACTCTCTTATGCCTTAAATCTTTTATAGGAAAGCAATTGGCATTAAGTTGGGAGTAATTGATTTTGGGTATGAATATCTATGAATATGGGAGATTATGGCATGGGAATTGAGCGATGAATAAGAGTTGTGAGGTATGAGCTTTTGGTCTGAAGCAGATGTTGTGTCATATGAACTTTATCCACCACACGTGATGGGTGATGAGAGAGAGAGAGATGGTGAAGTGAAGGCAGTGAGTGAGGAGAATTTGTACACAATTTGGGCATACTATGTCTTTTCAAAATCCTTCACTTTTGGCTGTGTGTTTTTTTGTTTTTGTTTTGTTTTGTTTTTTACACTTTAGTTTATTCTTTTTGACATAGAGATGTCAATAACATTCTCTGTAATGTCTCTCATCTCTGTACCCTCCACTGCTTCCTTCTTCTCCTCATCACTTTTTTCAAAACATTTTGCATTTTGCATTTTTGCATTTTTATTGTGAATATATCTGTATGGGCATTGACTTTCTTTTGTGCCACTCAATACACCCCTCTCTAACTAATTGTTTCTTCTTCTTGTTTCTGAAATAGAAAAGAAAATTAGAAGATTGTATCTTCTTTAACTTTAATTTTGGTTTCATCAACTTCTATTAACTTCTTTCAGATCCAAGAATTGGTGTACTTCCAAAAACTATATTCTACTAAAAATACTCCATTAATTTGTTAGAAAAGAAAAGGGTAGATACCCTACCTGTTGAGGTGACAAAACGCTTAATTAGGTGGAGAACACATTGAGTTGAAACCTATTTGTGAGATCTGGAAGCATTCCTATAAGGGTGTGGAAACCTCTTCCTAGCAAATGTGTTTTAATAACTATGAAGTTGACGACGATATGTAACGGGTCAAAACGAACAATATGTGTTAATGATGGGTTTGGGCTGTTATAAATGGTACCAGAGCCAAACACCAAGCGGTGTGCCAGCGAGAACACTGGACCCTAAAGGGTGGTGGATTGTGAGATCTCACATGGTTAGAGAGGGGAACGAAGCATTCCGAGTATAGAAACCTCTTCTTAATAATATGTGTTTTATAAATTATGAGGCTGACAACGATACATAACAAGTCAAAGCGGACAATATTTATTAGCAATGGGCTTGAGCGGTTATGCTATTGTTTCCATTCCGGCTGGTTTTTTAGATCTTTCATTACAATATGATATTGTCTATGACAATACAATGTCTACCTTGGTTGGTAAGAGTTCACTTCTTAATCTCCTTATTTTGTATTTATGTTAATACAATGTCTACCTTGAACCCAAATTTGCATGATTGTACTTGTGCATTCAAATGTCTTCACATTAATAAAGGGGCTGTGTTTCTCTATTCAATAATTTTTTAATAAATTGAGAGAGGGTCACATAACCAATGAAGTGAAAAGTTAAATAAGAAGGGGAGGGGGGGATTGAAAGATGAATCTTCCCAAAATCCAGAATTGTGGTACTTGAGCAGTGAGTTGTGGTTCTCACACAGTTCGGGTGTCGTATTGTGTTGGTCAATGAATCTTGGTCTGATCCGTAGCCATCGAATAAATATGAAGTGGGAAAAGTAAAAATCGAATACCGACAGATCGAATTATCTCCTTCTCAGTCCTCTCTTTTCATTTTTCTCTTTTGACATTTTTCTTTCACCAACACCACAACCTGCATCTTCATGCCCTGTTCAACACATTCTAAATGTCAAAACACACACAATCCTACTTCCAAACCCACTGCTCTTCCTCTAACCATTACTCAGGAAATTGTTTTGAATAATAGCTTAATCACCTTTGAATGTTCTTCTTCTTCTTCTTCATGTCTCACTTATGATGATGCCATGAGTGTACTAAAACCGGATGCTTCTTCCAGCTGCTACAGTTCCCTGGAGAAATTAGTGTGAGAAAAAAAAAAAAGTTACAAGCTTTCACTGAGTGGGGGGTGGGGAAGAAATTTGACGTGTGGCTGCTATAACAGAGGGTATTAATGGTGTCTGGTTTGTAAAGAACAGTGAAACAATGAGAAGAGACTGAAATTCTGCTGAGGGGAATTAAGTATGGGGGGGGGTGTTAATTTGGTGCATCTGATTTTCCACCCTTACTTTGTTATGTGTTGTCTTAATACCCGTCTGCTTTTGACACTGTGGGTGGGCTTTGGGATGAGTTAAAGCTCCTTTTTGTTCGCTGAAAAGAGTTTGTATTCTTTCCCCATCTTACAACTTTGTCCTCTCCTTCCTGCAAAAACCACTGGGAATAAATAGCATTCCCTCACACGTTGTCCATTAGGACCACTCCCTTAATCAACCCTTTTCCTTTTCTTTTTCATTTTCTTTATGCTTCTAACATTCATTTTTTCATACCATTTATGGGAGAAAATTTAGTTGTCTGAAAGAAGTGAGGTTTGTGTAAGTTGGGGTCAAATATTATGTTTGACCCACATGATCTCATTTACATCCGACAACCAGTCACTTCACTTCGATCCTATCATATTAAAGGCAACAATAATACATTAACCCCCACCCATTGTTTTTTTAGTACAGAAACACATAATTTAACCAATCTAAATATGCTTTAAGTCATGTGTTACTGTTTTCTGTAATTCTGAAAGAAATGGATTTGGTTAGCCAACTAACCAGGATGATATGATGCAAAGGCTCCAATTTCGAAGATGGGAAAGATGAAATGTGTTTAGCTTATTAGATTCCAATTCCACTGTATATATAGAGCTTGGGAGAATAAGTAGAGGACACTGTCGAGATATGATGCCATTACCTTCTTTTTCTCTCTTTCTCTGATAGTTTTTCCTTTTATCTTGCGCTTGCTAGCATGTTTGCTGCTTTTCTTTTAACCACCACACCTTGAGAACATGGAAGTTGCTTATTGCCACAGCACAAATTTTCTCCAAGTTTTCTTTTGTCGGCTTTCAAGTCGTTGAGTGTTGTGCTGAGTGACGAGTCTTTCTGTGTTAACAGAAGAAAAGAAAAATGCCCTACATGCATATGGAGCCAGAAGAGAAACATGTGATACCATCTTCTCAAATGGTGTTAAAATCCCTACATGGCTCAAAGGATGATGAAAAGACTAGTTTATGTAAAAGGAAAGGAAAAAGAAGGGCGAAAGGATCTACCATGAAAGGACTGAAACAAGAGGAGCTTGATCCAAATCTGGAGTTTCCCTCTTCTTCTTCCTGCAAAAGCTTAACATTTCCAAGAAGGCCAGACTTTGGCTCGCTGGGGACTAAATGCTTGGTTAAAGCCAACCACTTCCTAGCCAAAATACCTGAATCAGACATAAGCCATTATAATGTAAGATGGAAACAAGTCATAGTATTGATCAGAAGATTTCTTCAAAGAGGCAATAGAAATATGAAAGTTGAGTGTGTATTTTGTTGAGCTTGCAGGTTAAGATAACCCCAGAAGTTACTTCTCGTAAACTGAAGAAGAACATACTGACCGAGTTGGTCAAACATTATAGAAGCACAGAGCTGGGGATGCGACTGCCAGTTTACGATGGAGGAAGCAACCTGTACACGGCCGGATTGCTGCCTTTCACATCAAAAGAGTTCACTGTCATTTTGGCTGATGAGGAAGAGGGAGCAGCCACTCCCAGGCAATTTCTTTTCTTTTCTTCACATATTTTGCTCTTTCTTTGTTAGTAAACTTTAAGTTTAATACGGGGTAATCATATCAGGGAACGAGAATTTAAAGTGCAAATAAAGTTTGTAACTTTAGCTAGCATGCACCAGTTACGAGAATTATTTGCTGGTAAACAAGTTAAAAACCCTCGAGAAGCTTTGACCATCATTGACATCGTCTTGAGGGAGCTTCATGCTCAAAGGTTCGTATCTAATGGCACTTTTTTGGGCCTAGTTTGTTGGATTCATGTTCTGGCTGCATTTATGTTTTCAATACTGTGGTGAATTTCAATCTGGAATTATAGATATATATCAGTTGGGCGATTCTTTTACACTCCTTGCATTAAGAAACCTCAGCATGTTGGGGGTGGTTTGCAAGTTTGGCGTGGCTTCTATCAAAGCATCCGACCTACTCAAATGGGATTGTCACTAAATATTGGTGGGCATCGAAGTTTTCTTTTCCTAGGCTTCTACTTGGCTGTGTTTTGACTGCCCGAATTGACTTTTCTTATGGTTTTCTTTTGGGAATTGCATCTCATATCCAGACATGTCATCCACTGCATTCATTGAAGCAATCCCTGTCATTGATTTTGTTGCTCAAATCTTAAACAAAGATGTGTATTCAAGACCACTGTCTGATGCTGATCGTATCAAGGTACCATTATTCTTCTAGATACTTTTTGCTTCTCGAGCCAGAAATTTGGGTTATAATATCAGAGTTTGAATGATTCTGCTCTGAATTAGTATTGATGCTTTTTTTTGTAAGATTAAAAAAGTGCTCAGAGGTGTAAAAGTTGAAGTTACACACAGAGGAAATGTGCGAAGGAAATACAGAATTTCAGGACTAACAACACAACCTACAAGAGAGCTAATGTATATAAAAGCTTGTCCCTTTCCCTCTTATTCTGCATTTCAGATTGCCTTTTTCTCTTTGATGTTGTTTCAATTGAGTTGTTTTGCCGCAGCTTCCCTCTTGATGAGCAAATGAACATGAAATCTGTAGTTGAATACTTCCAAGAGGTGTATGGATATACCATTCAGTACACACATTTGCCTTGCCTTCAAGTAGGAAACCAGAAGAAGGTGAACTATCTACCCATGGAGGTCAGTTCTGCTAACTACCCATCAAGTTACCTTCAACGCTCGAATCTTTTGTCCGCAGAAAATTTATGTGATGTTTTTCCTCAGGCATGTAAGATTCTTAAGGGGCAGAGATACACAAAAGGACTGAATGAAAAGCAAATAGCTTCCTTGTTGAAGGTTTCATGCCAAAGACCATCTGATCAAGAAATGGACATTTTACAGGTCCAATTCATAATTTTTTTTCTCTTTCAATCTACTAAATATATCATTGTATTGGACCATGCAAAGACATTAGTTGTGTGAATACTCAAAGAAAAAAAAATCAAATAATCATTTGCTGCATTTCAGACTGTTCATCAGAATGCATATGAGGAAGATCCATATGCAAAAGAGTTCGGAATCAGCATCGACACCAAGCTTACATCGGTTGAAGCACGAGTCCTCCCATCTCCATGGGTACTTGGGAACTAAATTTATCAATACCACATCATATTCAGCTTCACTTTTTAACATATTTCTCATTTTCATATTTTTTTTCCTCTAGCTAAAATTTCATGACACGGGAAAAGAAAGGGAACATCTGCCTCAAGTTGGTCAATGGAATATGATGAATAAGGTCGGTCACTTCCTAATGTCCGTGTGTTATTGTGTATATCATAGAAGGATATTTTACTTTCTGCCCCCATTGCAGAAAGTAATAAATGGAAGTGTTGTAAGATATTGGGCTTGTATCAATTTCTCTCGCAACGTCCAAGAGAGCATAGCTTGTGGTTTCTGTCAACAGCTGGTCCAGATGTGCCAAGTCTCCGGCATGGTAAACAGTTGCCTGTTCTTGAGTATGTTCAATGAATTGAGAATTGCCAGCATTCTCAATTATCCTGCTTTAATATAATTTTGTTGATCTTTCTATCAGGAATTTAACTCAGATCCTGCAATTCCTATATACTCCGCAAGACCAGATCAAGTGAAAAAGGCCTTAAAATATGTATGTAATGCAGTTTATACCAAACATGAAGGAATGGAGTTAGAGTTACTGATAGCTATTCTTCCGGACAACAACGGCTCTTTATATGGTATCTGTTTTCACTTGTGAGATATATCGATACGAAAACTTATAACTGTGAAATAATTTAGATCTAATCCTTGTCCAAGACCTATGAGTGCCTTCAAGTCAACATTCCTCATGTATTAAGAAGCCATTGCTGTTAAAAATATACTTGTAGGATAGCTAACTGCCAGTGTGTAAAAAGAAAAGGTTTGGATCATCTGAAACATCCAACATTACCTGAATGACTTCAACCTGAAGATGCTGATATTTATAAAATTCCCAACATTTTTAACAAAGTAATATGACCTATTTTATCTAAGAGCAGTAAAATTTTCATTCAGGTGATCTTAAAAGGATCTGTGAAACAGAGTTGGGATTGATATCGCAGTGTTGTCTAACAAAGCATGTTTTCAAGAAGAGCAGACAGTATTTGGCGAATGTGTCACTTAAGATCAACGTCAAGGTCTCTACTCAATAGTTTATCTCACAATTCTACCGTACATAATCACCAATCTTATCTAATATTGGATTGATTTTTGTGTTCTATAAAGATGGGTGGAAGAAACACTGTTCTGTTAGATGCTTTGCGGTCAAGAATTCCACTAGTCAGTGACATACCAACAATAATCTTTGGAGCTGATGTCACCCATCCAGAATCTGGAGAGAATTCTCTTCCATCGATAGCTGCCGTAAGCTTTTCCAAAATGTTCATTTACTTGAATTCCTTGACATGTTTTCATGATTGAGTCACTCTGACATGTGCCGTACAGGTTGTGGCTTCCCAAGATTGGCCAGAAGTTACAAAATATGCTGGATTGGTATGTGCTCAGCCTCACCGAGAAGAACTGATTCAAGATTTATTCAAAACATGGAAAGATCCTCATCGCGGCACAGTTGCCGGGGGTATGATAAGGTGCATAATCGAGAGTGTGCAATTGAATGGAAATGAAATAGCTTAATCCTAGCTTCCTGTTGGGGGCTAACGAAGTTAGTTCTTTTGCAGGGAGCTCTTGCTTTCATTTAAGAAGGCCACTGGACAAAAACCATTAAGGATAATATTCTATAGGTAATATGGGGGTTAAACAATCACGTGAGAGACTTCACTTGGAGTAAAATTGGGGCATGTGAAGCAGCTGCATTATGATTTATATGTGTACCATTTTATGCTTGTAGGGATGGTGTCAGTGAGGGTCAGTTTTACCAAGTTCTACTGCACGAACTTGATGCCATACGCAAGGTCTGTTATAAAGCTTACAATCACTTGCTTTCTATGCTGTTGTCTTAAGAAAGCAAGGTGGACATATTTTAATTTAAATTCTGGCCAATCTATAGGCTTGTGCTTCACTAGAACCCAGTTACCAACCTCCAGTAACTTTTATCATTGTCCAAAAGCGACATCATACCCGACTTTTCACATCCAATCACAGTGATAGGAGCAGCACTGACAAGAGTGGTAATATTTTACCAGGTAATACATTTGCAAGCAAGATATAGCAGAACGCCTTCAAATTTTGTCCTACAGAAAGGGACTTCTCTTAACATTTTGGTTTAGAATTTTTAACATATGTCCTTAATTTGTAGGTACTGTCGTGGATTCAAAGATATGTCATCCGACTGAGTTCGACTTTTATCTATGCAGTCACGCAGGAATCCAGGTATGGTGTAAGAGAACAATCATAATGGACAAAACATAACACTCAAAATATTAGAGATGGGATATTGAAGCTCAAAACTTGCACTAACAGCAAAAGGATAAATTTGTATTTGGGTTTTCTTGTTTTCAGGGAACAAGTCGTCCCGCTCATTATCATGTTCTTTGGGATGAGAATAATTTCAGTGCTGATGACATTCAATCTCTGACTAATAACCTCTGTTACACGTAAGGATCCTCAAATTATCTTCACAAAATTTCCCAATATAGCTTTTTTTCTACTATTTGCTTAAACTATAAACCATTAACTTTCCTACAGATATGCTCGGTGCACAAGATCAGTCTCAGTAGGTAATTCCTTGACAATACCATCTGTTCCAATTTTTCCAGTTTCTGGTAGATTTTGGTATAATTAAGCTAGAATGGTAGTCTAAGAGAACGCTATCATACCCATCTTGATTGTTTACTTCTATGTTACTTTACTTGAATTTAAAGACATAAAACGGGGATTGCAGAATCAAGTACTTACAGTGACATTTATGGTGTGATGCAGTGCCTCCAGCATACTACGCTCATTTAGCGGCGTATAGAGCTCGATTCTACGTGGAACCCGACGCCCAGGAGAATGCGAAAAGGTGCTGCACTCGAACCACAAATGGGTCCAGCGTCCGGCCTTTGCCTGCACTGAAAGAGAGAGTGAAAAATGTGATGTTCTATTGTTGACCACAAGTAAAAACCAAGAATGAGAGAAATCGGAAAGCGATTTGTTGACAATCACACTATATACGAAAATATATATCTATGTATTAAGAAACTTCTGAGCAATGAAAAATTTTGTCCAAGTTTACCGATTCTGAATTCGCCTCTCTTTGTCTTCCGCGGTTGATTTGATGGGGATCGTTGACTCCTCCTTCCGTTGAAAATTTTCAACCATTGCCGCCCTAAGGCCTTGGCCCTGAATTTGATTGGGAAAATTTAACCTCAATTTTGATTTTTTTTTTTTCTTTTTGCAAAGTATCGAAACAAAATTGATATTTTGAAGGAAAAAAAAAACACTAATTATAAAAAAAAATGATCATTTAAATTGTTAGGCAATAAATGTAATCAATTTTTGAATTTTTATCTAATTATTATCATAATGATTATTATTCTGGTGTGCAATATTTGACTTTTCAGCTTAAAGTAGATATCTTTAATGGTTATGTTCTCCTTTTGACTTAATATACATGTACAGAGATTTATTAAGCAATTTGACAATATACTAATTATTATTTTGTTTTGAGGGTACAATAATTTGACTAAGTAGAGGAGTAGGTAGAAGAAAAATATAATAAATAAAATTGTTATATATCAAGAGTATCATCATCGTAAGCATTTTGACGCTCTAAAGTAAGTTCATATTGTGATTATTCAAAAGTAATATTTATAATTTTATATGATATTGATTCAAATTTCTCTACCAAATTGAAATAAATATTTAATTAATATTATATGATACTAAATTAAGACACAAGTAAAGCGTGTTTGAAAGGAATGCATTGATTAAGAGAGAAAAAATCTGTAGAAGCATTATTATGGTACTTTGAATAAAGAATCGGAATATTTTAAAATGAAAAGGCGGAAAAACGGTGAAGGAAGGTGGCTATATTTATTTTAAAAAGTAGAGCCGATGATTTAAGTTAATAATAATATAAGAAAATCTTAATTATTGTTTTGATTAAAAGAAAAAAAAACCTTTTATACAAAATTAAAAACAGCACTACTTTTAAATATTTAAATTTAGTGAATCAGTGATGAAATATAGAAATTAGAAATTAGATTTAGAAGTTTGGGAGGTAAAATGTAATTTAATTATAAATATAGTGTAAGATAAGATTGGCAGAAGGAAGGACCAGAGGCTGTTTCCCTAGTCTAGTCCGCAGAGGATCTTATCCAAAATGATGGGCCGGAGACTACGACAGGTCTCTCTCACGGAAAATTGACCCACGAGGGACGGAGCAGGTAAAAAATTATAAATAAATATTAATTTAAAGGATTTAAAAGAAAAAAAAAAAGGGTGAGGTGGAAAAAATAACAATAAAAAAGAAAGGAGGAGGGGTAATATCGCTGTCCACGTGGGAGATAAGTGAGACGTGAATGTGCCGGTCGATGCAGAGGTAAAGGTGGTCCCCTGGGAAATATTTTTGGATGTGGGCCATGGGATTTTCCGACTTAGTCAGCACGCAGAACGGGATCACGTGAAATTAGGGAATGGTAGGCCACATATCGGGTCTACTGGGTCCGGATTCTTCCGGATTGACCCGCTTTTTCATCGGCTTAATTTCCTCGACTTGCGGAAGCTTGTTTCCTTGGCCATCTCCAGTTTCAATTTTGTTAATAAATTCCATTGAAAGAAATAAGGCACGAAGGAAAAAAGAAAAGAAAGATGGAGAGGGAGTGGTTGTGGAAGTTTGAAGAAGAAAAAGGAGTCATTTAGTGTACCAAAAAAACAATGAAAACGCCCTTCTTTTAGACATTTGATCAAACACTTTGGAGGGGCCCAAATTATAATGCACAACAGCACAAGTTGAGTCAGTAAAGGGACGCCCCATGGACAGGCCAGCTGAGGTGATGCCACAGTTCGCACAGCACGCCCTAGCTGTTGCTGCATCTGCCTTACACCTGCATCTCCCTCTCTCTTTTTCTCTCACGTGACTCCTAATTCCTTTAACCCTAACTCAATACTTTCGACTCAAATGCTTAACCACAACCGTAAATTACTGAAACGATGGGACCCACAATTTTTAAATGAATTATATATAAAAATAAAAGGTAAATGTATGTAATTATAAATTTAACAAGTTATCTAGGGGAGATAAAACAGAAAAGGAGTAGGACCTGCTATTGTTATGAAAAAATGGAAAGAGAAAGGGTGGAACCTACCACCATGATTATTAAAAGAAAAGAAAAAATAACAGAGGGTACCCAATTCGAGTAAGAAAGCATAGGTAGGTTTAGCGGCGGGTTTGTTACCTAAAATTTTAAACTCACGGCTGAAACGGCTCTGAAGAAAGTTATGAATTATTTTGACCAGCCAGCCAGGTAGTAGGGGTCCCGTTGTGGCGACGTTGGCCGAGTCCGTTTCTTCCTTTAGTGTCGGGCAATCCCACATGGCACCCTATTCCAATCACCCCCTCCTGGGTCTCCTTTCCCCTAAACACAACCCCACTACTCTGTTTCTTTCTTTTTTCCTGTTTTTTGCCTTTTCGTCCTCCTCCATCTCTTCTCTTTTCCATTGCCCCTCTCCCTGTTCTTTTATTCCATTTTCATCCCCTATATTTCCTATTTGTTTCAACCAAACCTCTTCCATTTCTGCCATAAATCACTAATTACCAACTCTTAATTTCACAGCACCTTAACTATGAGTTGAATTTTGGAAGTATGATTATATTTATGTAATAGAGAAAAAGAAGATGATGGATTTGAAGGAATAATAAAACAAGTGGGTGAAACGTACGGATAACATTCAACTTGTCCCTGTTAAAGGAACATATATAAATAAGGCAGTAATTAGGGTACGCCTGGCTGCTCCTAATACCAACCTTAACATATTTGATTTTATTTATTTTAAAATGAAAATAAAAACAGAAGAGGCACTTGACATTAATTTGGAATTAATTAATGGTTCATTAAATAGTTATTGAATGGACAAGAAATGAGAGGTAATTACCCAAAAGCATGTTGAGTGAGTTATAATATAAGAGGAACTGGTAAATGAAAGGAGGGATCAGGGATAGGCAAAAGGAGTAATTAGGGATTAATCATTAAAACCTTTTGATGGGTAGAGCTAAACCACATAAGAATTACAAGATTAGATCCAACGTCCATATCATTCACTCTTTATATTCAAATTTAATGCAATCTGATGGATGTAACTACCACTTTTTTCTTTTTTTTTTCTCTGTTTTTCTTTTTTGGGTTCGATGGGAATTCAAAAAAAAAAAAAAAAAGAATTTTACGTTATTATTATTTTTATTTTATACTGTTCCTCCGAATGGATGATTCGCAGTTGCATCCGGCGGCGGGGCGGCGTGCCAAGCCGAAGCCGCGATGAGAGGGCGGCTGTGCCACCCGAGCGTTAAACACCCTTCGTTCTCCTCCACGGAGAATCCTTCTGCGGAGAAGAGCGTTAGCAGCATACTGGCTTGTTTGAAGGCGTTGGATCCCAAATGGAGGGCTATAAAACCGGCTTGTCGGAGCCGAGATCTCCACTTGACAAGCGGCTCATGGCGCTCCACTCGAGCTGGTCCTTCACAGCTCACCACGTTGCAAATCTCCCTCTGTAGATACATCTCCGCTAGAGCCTTCTCCGGCATCATACAGCAAGCTTCAAGCGAATCGAACATGGTGGAGTAATAAAATAGCGCCTCTGTGAACCGATCCAAGAACCCGGTCTGGTTGTGGTCTGCTTCTTGCTCCACTACTGTAACGATCTTCGGGTTCAAATTCCGGATCCACCCCAGAACCATTTCCATGGCGGAGGAGGACCGGTTGTTGTTTCCCAGTAGCCGGTGGAGCTGCATAATAGAGTTCACCGCCACCGTCTCCTTTGGATTCACTTGAAGCATCCACGGCTTCACATCTTCCAGCCTCGACGCCGCCACGCCGCGGAAGGCGAACCGAACGTTCACCGACCGGGCCAACTCGGCGAGCCGCAATCCGATTTCACGAAGCGAGTCACGGCCGTCGGAAGATGGTGGGCCAATGCCGGTTAAACGAAGAAGAGGAGGGCCGCCAGGGCGGAGAGCGAGGGCTTGGATTAATGCCGGCCATTGTAAGCCGTGCATTAGATTGAAATCGATGACGTGGACACAATCGTGACCGTCGAAGGCTTCCAAAATCGCTTGATTAGCGGTGAAATGGGCGAATTTAAGGTAAGGGCAAGCTTCGTAATAATGGTGATATAAAAGCTCGTTTTCGTAGCCGGTGGTGGTAATGGTGGTGTCATGCGGTGTAAATACGCGCCGAGTGAGCGCGTCGATGAAGTAACCGGCGACTTTTCCGATGCCGCAATCGGTGTTGATGCCAGAGACCAAACTCTGCATTTCGACAATCAGAGAACCAGCCAATGGGAAATCACCACGGTGAATTGAATCGGCACACGTAACGAGCATGTGAACCAGCTTTATACCGGAATCCTCCTCCATGGCGGTCACGACGGTAAGTTGATTGTGAGATAAGTTCTGGTGTTGCGCAGCAACACATGGATCGGTCCAGGAGACATTTCCAGCCGTCTGATTAGAACCGGGAATAAGATCGGGGAAATCGAGGATATCGGACGGCAACGAGGTGGTTTGATTCAACTCGGAAAGAATGGAATCAACCCAAGAGGCGATGTCGGAAGGATTGTAATGGACGGTCTCTGAGGCGAGTTGAGAGATCTCGGAGGAAGAGTTAACCATGGCGGATTCAAGGCGTTCGAGGCGTTGAGCAACGTGGTGAAGGTCGGAGGCGCGAACTTTATAGCCTGCGCCGGCGAGGAGGCCATCGATGTCCTGGGGTTTGGTGACGGTGGAGGAGGAGGAGGAGGAGCTGCCGCTGCTGCTGGTACCAGAGGAGGCGGCGGAGTCGAAAGGGGCCATTAAATTGATTAACAAACAGAGAGAGAGAGAGAGAGATGGATTGGTTGTTGAAGAAGAAGGAATCAAGAAAAGGGGATTTGGGATGTTAAGTTGACCATGGCCATATAGAATTGAAACAATGGAGGTCTGTTAAATTAGGAGAGTGAGGGAGAGAGTGAAAAGCGATGGCTGAATGGGAGAGGACGAAAAGGATTTTAGAAAGAGAGACACAGAGGCGGTGCATCTCAGAA